ACTTACTTTTCCCACTCTCCTAGTCTTAATTCGTTAAGACCATAACCATAATCTCAGATTTGGACTCACTAAGGTCTAATACTCCATAAAGTTTGTGACTTTAAGCCTTTTCATGGCTGAGAAAGTCTAAAACCCAAAAACTCTCACTCTTTACTCACAAAAGTGCTCATATATCATGCATGGGGAGATTTTGACGTGCACGATCCCATTTTTATGAGTCCAGTCCACTAGAGACACTTAAAGGGATAGGTATTTGGCTCTGGAGTTCAACAAGTCATAAAGCTTCAAGCTTTGGGACATAAACCCTAAAATGAACCATAATATGCACAAATCAAAACAATGAGAAAGCTTTGTGCTTGATAGCTTCAAATGATGCACCAACCACAGGGAAACTCAGATCCAAAGCTTGGACTCCAACTCTATTCTCTTGAAAGCTCCTTTTTCACTCAAAGAATCCCACAAGAATACTTTAAAGCTTAAAATGGCCACTCAAGCTAAGAGAATGGAAATTAGGGTTTTAAGGGAGTTGGAGACTAGAAATGATGGCCAGAAATGAGGCCATCATGCTCCTTAAATAGGGACACACCCCCATAATTAGGGTTTTCATTTTGATCCTAGTATGCCCAGCATATCCTCTGGTACGCCCAGCGTACTAGGTGGCTTCCACATCCAAAACACGCACATGAGTATGCTGAGCGTACATATACGTACGCTCTTCGTACTCAGCTACCACCTTTTCTCAATTAAAGGGCCAAACTTGACAACTACAATAAAACAAGGGTTAATGAGATATACCTAGTCTTAGGATGTTACATGCGGAGGTTATACCGTTAGAGGATAAGGGCGAGTCTTGGGATTTAAGTATAGACCCAACCATTAGGAAGAAAATAGGAGATTTGAAGGACAAAGACTTGTAAGAATGTTTTCATTTACTTGTCATTTAGCATAAATATACATTTGATGTGTTCTTACCTGTTTAATGTTTATGTACAAATTATGGGCAGTGTACCTTTGTGGGTATCAACAATTTAAGGTGGTATTATGTAATGAAAGATATGAAATTTACCTGATCAGAAGGACTTGTGGATGTAGAAGATGGCACTTAACTGGCATACCCTGTGCACGTGGAGTGGTTGCAATTTCATCCATGAACTTAAACTCAGAAGACTATGTAGCTAGTTGTTACAGTAAGGCAATGTATCTCACATGCTATACATATATTATTCATCATTTGAATGATAGCTCGTTGTGGACACAAAGTGAGTACACCAAGCCTTTACCCCCAAAGAGTAGAAGGTGATGTGCACAAATTATACCTATCTAGCGTTAAATTTATCAACCTAACTACTTATCTAGCAATGCACCTATAGGCAGTGTACCTAGTCAATATACAATATATTAAGTAAGTTGGGTATCAAACATAGTGAGCGGATTTAATTTACTAATTGAACTACTAAAAATTAATCTAAAACAAGCAAAAGTTAATTGGGTTTAAATATGAACCTTACATCAAAATTCAAATTATACTTTTCAAACTCCATTTCCATTTTTCTAATTGTTCGCTTTTGTTGGAACCTGGACACTAGACAAAAAAAAATTTCTTTTATCCCTACCTATCGGACAATTAATTATTCAATTTCAAGGTCACAATCATTGTCTTTCAGGTCTATTTCGGCACGAGCATCTAAAAAGTTTGTATAATTTGAGTTTGATGTATTTTTCCTTTCCGAAGCATCACTCCCTTCATCTCATCCACCAAATGTCATTTCGGACAACTTATTACAACCCTCCAAAACTCAGCATGTTCAATAAATTCCCGCTATTTTCCACCTGGTGTATTTCGAGCATTCCCCCGGAAATATCTTTATCACTTTGGTCACTTTTACGTTGATATTTTAAGTTGGTGTGCAATATGTTAAACTTCGTGACCATCTTATTTACGTATCAATACTTGGAGCATAGTTAGTCCTTCATATGGTACTCGCCACGATGCATTTCCATGTGAAAATGGTATGTAATGTGTCTTCAAAAATGTTGCAATGATTGCAAATTACCAGTTATCGCATCGTTCAATATGTCGGCCCATGAATGGGCCAATGCGACTTCTTCTATTGTTGTCCATGTTTAAGCGGATTGCTTGCCTTTTCTTTTGGATTGGGATGGGGGTTGAGATTCGAGAATGCATTCAACTTCCGGATTAGGTGGGCGTTGAGTTTCGGGAAGAGGCGAAGAGCACATAAATAGGGTTGGGGTTAGTTTTGTGTAGGAAAATATGAATGTGTTGCGGGAAATTGAAATTCGTTGAGTTGATAAATTGGGGCTTCAAATTGTTGTCAGTAAATAATTTTGGAGAAGTAATACGAACAACATTTTGAGTATGTATGTTGGAACTAGTAACCCGGGATTGATTTCGAACGAACATTGTGTCGGTGTTATTGGGAGAATTATTTAAAATCATTTGAATGTAAAAGTAGATTGAAAGGAAGAGTGAAGATGCGGTAAAAAGTGTTATTATTAATTGGTATATATAAAGAACGAAAAAAAAAATTATAAAAACCGGTTGTTGAAAATAGTTGGGAGATGTTGCGATTTTCTATTATGGCCACCCTCACCACCAGGTGATTTTTGAGTCTACGATGGTGTTCCGCACCCACCACGATGCCAGGTCACACTCATCACATCCCACAATAAGAATATACCTTTAAGGTTATAAGAGGTAGTAGCACTCCTATGTCATATCATTTTTTTATTCTGTCACGAGATTTTTTTTTAGTATTTCATAGGGAGTAGTATAACCTCTAGCATTCCTTACGTTTTATTTTCTTTTTCAAATTTGAATAAATTATATGATTTTCTCAAATTTAAATAAATTATATTTTTTAATTTATGATTGTCTTTTTCAAATATAAAAAAATTATATTTTTTTAATACACAAACATTTCATATCACATAAATTATTATTTTCTAAAACACAAATACTTAATATTAAATAAAAAATGATACAATAAATTAAAACATAAAATACAATTAAAACTACATTTAAAACATGAAAATACCTAGAACATGACTTATTACTCGACTTAAAACTACAATTAAGATATAAAAATACTACTACTTATTCCACTGATATTTTAGTAATCTCCGTCCTTGAATTGTTGAAAATCTGATGATTCTCCTTGGACAAGTTGATTCCCTTTCTTAAGAAAAGCTTTAGCGCACGGTTCCATTCTTTTCTTTTCCCAATTACAAATATTTGTCAAGATTATTGTCCAACCCTTGGATGTTGGTTTTATTTCCTTTACTTCACTCGATACAATGAACTTTGAACATCTTTTAGTTTTCTTTTTGCTTTGTCTAGTCCCATATGACAAGTTGCAACTTCGTTTGGATCTTCGTTGTTGAGATCAATCCTAATATGCGCATTAGAAGATTGATTTTGGGTTGATTCGGAAGTTTTGTTTCGTTTGGACATACCCGCAAAATCATCAATACTTTTTGGATTCAGCCATTCAGCATTGTTCTTCACAACTCACCAAAACGCCTCATTTGCAAAAGCTTTTCTAACTTTTGTCTTATAAATTTGATGACATTTGCTGTGACATCCACCTTGTTTGCACCGCTTTGCTGGTTACGGGCCACATTCATGTAGATGTGATCGAACTTCATTGACTTTTTGTTGGCGGTTCACAATTTCGAGTAAACTTGATTAGGATTGTGGTACTCCTAATTCATTTGGACACAAAAACTTCTCTGAACTCTGAATTTAAAGGTTGTCGAATCTTAGTCATCCCCCGTCGTCGGATCCTCTGATACATCTAGCCATGCTTGCAGTAATGCCTTCTCTTCTTTATTAGTCCATCATTGGCATTTTGCCTTTTCCTTTTTATTTACTTTTTCCTTTTGGGTCAATTTTGGTCTCTTGAACACCCATTCATCAAAAGAATCGGTTGACTCATTGACTAGTCGGCATAGTTCATATTGAAAATTAGTTTGGGGTTGAGGATAGGAAAAAAATTGGTTTCTTGAACCGACTCGTACGGATCAAGATCGAAAGTTGGACGAGGTATTGGTTTGGATAAAATGGCATTGGTTGAGATTGGAAGTGAGTAGAATATGGATGGAATGGATACATTTATGGAGTCATAGTACGATAATAGTCACTTGTAGGTGAATGAATAGATTGATCGAGTGAAGGTCAATAAAAAGTTTGGTGATGGAAGTGAGTAGAGTATGGATGGAATTGATATATTTATGTAGTTATTCACTTGTTCTTGTTTAACCATGAAGGGAGATACAATTAATTTGTCACATTCAAAAAAACCGCAAAGTTACCTATATACTCTATATGGATGGTTACTGGATAAACGAAAAAAATTACAAAGTTTTGCAATAAAATCATTAAAAAATAAATAAATAAAAAAGAATCTATAGATGCTTACCCGAATTGCAATGGTTTTTTTTTTCATATTATTAACCTATCATTCAATTGCAATTAATTCGTTTCACAAAAATAAACATAATACAAATTTATCAAAACCAAAAATGAGATTGTAATAGGAAAACATTTTCCTCTGCTTTTAAAAGATAAAATTTAATGAATTTTGTAAAAATATATACATTATATAATATAGTAAATCTAAACCCCCTTTTCATACCACCCCACCGGCATTGATTTGTTTCAGATTCATCGCACCTCCTACTAAACCCATTCCTCCATTGTTGAAGGCATGTGTCTTCTTATTTCGCATTGATCTTTCGGACTTTCTAGAATGTCTCTCCTTGGAATGAATTGAATAGTCGTTGTTCTACAAAAGGCTTTAGTTAGCTATAATTTTTGACTTGAGATTCAGTTTAAGTAAAGTTGGACAAGTTATTGGTAAAACTAGGCTGCTACTAACATCTACAAACAATCTGCAATCAAGGTGTAATACGTTGGATGCATCTGGGTTTTCTTCTCTTTGTCTAATTTTTATAGGAATTTGAAAGTAATTTTGATGCTCACCAACTGGTCGATAAAATGCTTAAACCAAAAACCACAAAGTAAAATCATTTCTATTGCATCGGTTAAAAAAACAAATAATTAATTTTCATAGTCCTCTAATTTTACTAATCGGGATCCACAAAATGAATGTGGAGAAGATTTCGAATGAAAATGATAAATAAAGGAAACAAAAAAACATATATTTTACATAAGATCATAAAAATGGAAGCAAATCCACATTTCCAAAAATAGCAAACGAACATCGAACCTAAGAAAATTGTAAAATTAAATCGTATTACTCGTCTTCATGCTCACTTCCTTCCTCAGCATCTCCTTCAGAACCTTCCTCTGACTCCTCTTTCTTTTCCTCGCTATTTCCTAAAACAAACAAAATATAAAAAAAAAAAAATTCACTTGTTAAAGAGAACCCACTAAGTTCCACAACTTTACAAAATCCACCCTCATCTCTTTTTCTTCAATCTCCCCATTCATGTTCCATTTCTTTCTATTACAACATTCTACTTTCATTTTTTGTCTTATCAGGACATAATGTATCAATATCAAATTACTTTTACGCAAGGTAAAAAAGTAAATACCACAATTTTTCATGTTAAAAAAAAAAAAAAAAAGTTACCGTATTCACTAAAAATTACAGTCCCCGAACATAATCCATCCTCGATCTTAATAAGCTGAAGTGTCATGCGGGGCCCAATCTCTTGAAGCTTAACAGCACTTTTAGTAGAAGCCTTATTCACTCTCCCAACATCACTTGCTAAACTCACAGTCGCTGCTTCCTCATCTCCTTCACTTTCCGATCCATACCCCGCCCTTTTCATTTTCAAAAACCAAAAAAACATTACCACTTTACCTTCATTTTACTTATACAAAAACTTACTACGTGTGTGTGTGAAAGAGAAAAAAAAAAAAAAAAAAAAAAAAAACATTACTTTGTTACAAAGTCACTGACATCTTGAAGAGATCTGAGATCCGGAACTTGATGATTTTGCACAAATTTTCTTATTCTACGTGAGACTCCAACTGGTTGCAATCTGATGGAATAATGCCTAAAATCGATAAGCTTTGTCTCTTTGTTGTAATTAAGTAACACAATTCTCTGGCATGATGAGAGTTTCACCTGAAAATTTTAATATAAATTATAAATTATAAATTATCGCTCTTCAAATTTATAAAATATTAAGCCTTACTGTTTTAATGTCGATAGCAGGGAAGATATTTTGAAACATAATTGTTGTAAGTTTCAAATGTTGTTCACCGGTTCCAAAACCAGAGAGCACGATCTGTATTCAGATTCAAATTTTTTATATTAGCTTTGTGAGAAAACAATAATGACTAAATACAAAAAAATAAATCAACAAAAGTAGATTGCAAATTTGTAAAAGATGTGAATTAGGGAAATACAAGGGGGGAGTTTTTGAAGAGGTCTTTTGGAACTCTTGGGCGTAATTGGGAGTTTGCAATATCAACAGCTAAAGAATACTCTTGAATTTTGAATGTAAGAGTGGGGCCCTGTGGTGTTCTTGCAACTCTTAAGTATGGGGAACTTCCTGTTTTTGATAGCATAAGAAAATGTGTTACTCCCATGGGACCCGCAACATTCAAGAAATCTTTCAGGTTGTTGCGCTTCTTTTCCTGTATCAGTAATACATGATAAAAAGTTATTAAGAGGTGAAGTGGTGAAAAAAAATTTAAAGGGTTTAAGTGTTTAAAGGTTAAAAGAGAATTACCTTTAGATTTAGAGCTGTATATGGAAGCATCATCTTTCTCAAGTCTGCTTGTAATTGTTTGAGAGAACCAGGTAATTTCAATCTTGAAAACACAAAGCTTCTTGGTATCTTATCACCTGTAACATGATCCACATTCTGTTGTGGCTGTTTCTTTGCTGGCTTCACAAATACCACTTTTTTTTTCTGATAACAAATGATTGTATCATAAATGTATTAAATTTAAAGACGTTTGATGTAAATAGTAACATGGTATCGTATTTTCTTTTAATTATCTTCACAGGCGAAAGAACTGAGTAACAGTACTTACATTACGGAAACGAGCCATCTTCGAGAATTATGTGTTCGCTTGTTGCCCTAAATTGTGTTTATGAAACAAAATTGGTTAGTACGATAACATGAATTAAGATTCCAGTTAATTGCAATATGTGTGCGATGATAACTCAAAAGGTTAGCTCTTTTGGAGACTACAGTGATAACGAATGAATATCAATCAATTCAAACATAAAACATAACTAATGGGTGCTAGTGTTGGCTACTCTTACAGGTTTAAGATCTAGGTTCAATTGATAACTGAAGCACAAACTCGTACATAGGAAAAAAACGACAGCAGGAAAATCAATACACGTTTCAAATTCAAAGATAAACAAGATGTTTCTATTTTACAGCTCTTATGCATCAATTGATAAATTCAGTGAACCGACAAATTATTCTAACAGGAACCAGGGAAAAGAAGGAAGAATGAAGCTAGGAAAAAAATCGACGGCAGGAAAAATGGAACAAAACCAACCTAGCTGTGGGGTGCGACGGTCTCCGGTGTTGCTGTGGGGGTGCGACGGTCTCCGGCCGGTGGCTTCACAGGAGAGAAGGCGGTAGCAGGGGAGGCAACGATCGACAGAACACGCGATGGATGGAGGCGTCTGTGATTTGTGTAGATACGTATGAGGTTTATTAGGTTAAGGGGTTTAGGGCAAGGGTATAATGGTCGATTCGTTCAAACGATGAAATAAGGAGTTTTTGTACGTAAGCGATAACAAATTGACAAAACTGCAAAAATGGTCATCATGGTAATTTTTTTAGGTTTGGTCCAAATCTTAATTTTTTTGGATTGGTGGTCTTTTTTAAACTAGTTTGTACGTGGAAAAGATCCATTCCCAAATTGAAAAGGCTAAAATACCTTTAATATATTTATTTTTTTATTTTTCTTTCTTTTTTTTAACTATTTTATAATTAATAAATAAATACAAAAACTCTCTCTCTCTCCCCACATTCTTTTTCTTTTCATTTAAGAACACTTTCATCTTCTTCATCTATTTTTTCTTAATCAAAATTCCATATCTAAACATCGATTCCAAATACATAGAAACACTCATGAACATACATATCAACATACACTCACATACATCATCGAAATCGAACTCTACAAGTTTGATCCATAGGAGCTTCTATGTGACTAGAAATGCAATAGCAAGCAATGTTAGGGTTTCTAGAAGACAACATTTTCATGTAACCATATCAGTTATTGGGAATAAATTAGTACTCTTAGATCAGTAATTTTGGAAAGTGCTTTAAGGAATCATTTGTTTAGTGATAGCTATAATGGCGGGTATGGGTGGTATAAAGAGATGTGGAATGGAGGCTTGGTGGAGGACGGGATCTGGTCTTCTTCTCCGGTTGGATCGTTTTCAGCATCAATATAAGGGAGCACATAAACACATTTCATTAAAATTATTTGCGATTCATTTGTTGTGTGTACATGTTGAGTTCGAAGTTTGTAGTGAGGTGTCGAAGTACAATTAGTCCTGGTTAGTTTCGAAGTTAGTGCATTGTATTTCGAATGTATGTATTACATAAGGCGTTATTAGAAGGTCAAAGTTTTCATTTCTAGCCCTTATGTATTTTTTGTACGTGTCTGTTACTCCTTATGAATAGGGGTAGGTATAGGGGTCGAGGGTAACTTTGGTGTATTGTATGAGCTTGAGCACTTTACTCTCGTTGTACTCCTGTATTCTTTCAGACATAATCAAGATTCAAACAGACTATATTTACATCTTTTTCCTTATCGTATTCAGTTCTTGATTTTGTTCATATTACTCGATTCAAACACACTACATTTGGTATCAGAGCAGGATTCATTCAGTCATTTTATGGTTTTCTCATCTTTTTCAAAAGCTTTGAATCGTTTTTTCGATTCAAAATATTTTCGCACTTTTGATTAAGGAAACCTAATCTAATCAACTGATTTGTTTCAATTTTGCGTTTTGTTTGACAAATCGAGTGTACTCTGGTCTTTTTCTGAAAGAATCATTTGTTAGATTTCATTTTATGAATCATTTCATCATCTCAATCCGCACAACAATGGCGAATTTCAACATGAACATGATGTCTAACTATTCTTATCTTCTTGGATCTTCCACTAAGATTCCAATGCTTATCCCAAAATACTACAAACAATGAGCAGATCACATAAAGGATTACCTCAACGGTATTGATGAGGATTTATGGATATGTGTTACGAGTGGTAATTACTGTCCAAAAAGGTTAGAACAAATTGGAACAGCTGGTTCTTCTGGTGATGTTGCAGTACAAGCGGAAAACACAAAAAGCGAATGATAAAAAGTGTTTACGCGAATTTCGTGGTGCTTTTCCGCCAATCGTTTACAATTTTGTCCGAGGTTATAAGACGGCTAAAGGGATCTGGGATACCTTAAAGGAAAAGTATCGAGGGAGTAAGAGGAAGAAAAAGAGCTCAGTGAAGCAGTGTTTGTTAGATCTTGGAGAGTTCAAGCAAAAGGAAGGGGAAACCATCGAACTCTACTATGATCGTCTCGATGAGTTGATCTTCAAATGCAATCGTTATGGAGTCACTTGTTCCACGATTGAGTACAATCTCACATTCTTGATGGGTCTTCGAATAGAATGGAGAAACATCAGCTTAATTATCAAAACAGAGCAAAGCCTCGATGGCTACTCATTTGGGAGATCTTTACAATGTTCTCAAAGCTCATGAGAATGAAATTAATGAGATAGCTGAAAAGGAAAAAATGAATTTGGGAGGCCCTCTTGCCTTGATGTTGAAGGTGTCTACGAAAGAGTCTGAGATTGAAATTAGCTCAATAGGTTGATTCTGAAGACGAAGGTTTTCTTGTGAATTCGGAGGATGAGGTTCTGGCGTATTATTCCAACAACAAAGTGAAGATGTTCTTCAAGAAGCCTTTTAATCCTATGTATAAAAGCAACAACGAATTCAAGGGAAATTCTATTGGATTAGTGTCTAAGCCCGTAACCATATTTGGTAAGTACTTGATCCGGTTGTGCATGGTCCTTTGGGGGTGCCTTCACTAAAGCAACTTGACTGGAGAAATACTAAAGAAAGAGGTTATTATGGTTTATTAATATATTATAAGAATAATATATTAAAATAGAAATCATATTATTTAATTAATATTAGTCATAAACTAATTAAGAATTAATTTGGTGACTAAAAGAGATTAATTGAATAAAAGGACTTAAACTGGAAAATGTGTGATAGTTGGATTTTGGGCTAGGAAACCCAATGGGACAAAGGGATGAACGAAATTATGATGGGAGTCCATCATATTTTCGTCCATGGCCTTATTCCAAAAGGTTCCATGGGCTGCTTAATGTCTAAGCTCTCCATTAGGGTTTTGGAGGAAACCCTAGCTGCTCACAGTATAAATAAGGCCCCTAGGCTACAAAAATCGTCCACTTGTTTCTCTAAGAACCCTAAGGCCGAATTTTGTAGCCTCCTCCCTCTCTCCCTTGCCTCTCCATTTGCTCTTGGTGTTTGTGAGCCATTAGAGGTACTACACTTGTGGTACTTGCTTTCAAGGATAAGGAGATTCAAGTTTTAAGTTGTTATTACTACATAACAACAAGAGGTATGTCATCCATCTCATCTTATGAATTTTGAAATTCATAGAAGCATGCTAGGGTTCTTCATGTGTTCATAATATTATGTATCTAACAGTGAAAACATAAGTTCGTATCTAGGGTTGTGTGCACACATAAAACTCATCAAATTCATGATCTGGGAAAGGAACCAGAGAGGATTCGAAGGTAGAGAAGAAGGAGAACAAGACTGTTGATGAGAATGTTGAAAACAAACTGAAGGGAGATTCTAGTTTCGACTTTGATTATTGCAATTGTGCGAACCATCTGGCAGTTGATTGTATGCCAAGGAAGGAAAAGGAGAAGAAAGAAAGAGTAAAAGATGAGGCATATTATGTTGAGAGGTTGGAGGAAGTGAGAGCTAGGACAAAACAATTGTCACTCATTACAAAGGGGGGGTGTTGAAGGGGATGGAACCTACCAGATTTGATCATGTGGTTCCAATGATGAAGAAATGTGAAACCCCACTCGTGGAATCTAAGAGAAGTCGAATAGATAGTCTAGAGCTATAATTGAAAAAAAAAATACTCTAGATAGGGATGTTGTTAGATCAGATGATATTTTGTTGATGAAACAAAGAAATATTTTCTATAATAGTGCAAAAGGATTGTATACAAAACTAACTGATCTTCATCATTCATCTGACATAAGCAAAGAACAACATAGGAAGTTATTGCCTTTTCTAGTTTATGAAAGAGAGAAAATCAATACAACTTCCTATGTTTGTGAGAAGAAAATCTCAAAATTCGATAAAGTCCCCAATGATTCTTATGCTTATGGGATTGTTGGAATAGGTGAATTTTTGAATGCTAATCAATTAGTGCATATTGTGAATGAGTCTTTGATTAAGATCGAACAAATCAAAATCTTGAACGTGACTAAGACTTCGAATATGGACTCTCAACAAATTTTTGTTGATATCGAAGATAATTCTGACAATATTAGTGAAATTAAGGAAGCGGAAACAATTGATTGCTCTCAATTGTCTGTCATTAATGTCACTTCGATGGCTAAGGCCCAAGGGAAAAGAAATTTTTTATGATTCAATTGAGAAGGTTGACCCTAACTAACCATCTACATCGAAGGTTCATGAATATGACCATGTGGTTCCTAAAGATTGTCAGACTGATAGTGATAATGCCGATGATGTTCCGATTAAAACAACTGTTCCTCGAGTTTTTGTCGAACTGGTTTATAAGGAAACAAATCAGTTCGAAAAAAGTGATGAAAGAAAAGTGTCCTCATTATCTTGAATCCAACTCTGTTGTCTATCCGAATTTCAAATGCACCGATGAAGTTGTGCTTCCTAATCAAGTATTCGTTACCACTGGAAATGGTGACAAACTTAATCTAGAAATCAACAAACTTGTTGAGGAAAACAACAAAGCAGCAACAAAAAGAGAGTTTTTCTCAAACCAAAGCACAATCGACAATGTCCTAAATAAAAACTCGTAGACTTTTCAAAGACAAAAACCTAAGCTGGTTTGGGAAGTTAAATCAGAAAAATCAAATGTTGATACTCGAACAAAAGAACAAGTTTTGAAAACAACAGCCCAACTTTTCAATGAAAATGTTCAAAAAGTTGCAAAAGAGGAAGAAGTTTCGATGTCTAAGGCTCGAAACAAAGTCTATTTTGTTTCAGAAACAAAAAGTTTTTAAGCAAAAACCATATGAACAAGTTAATATGTTTTCACAAAATCAAACTTTTGTTCAAATAAATCAACTCCAAAGTTAAATGGTTTTACAAAGAATCAATCTAAAGTTCATAAACCAGTTTGAACATCAATTGTTCAAAAACAAAGAAATGAAAATTTTGTACAAAACCAACGTCCAATGAATTTTGTTACTAATTCTAAAAAAAGAAAGGTTTTCACAACACAATTTTCAAAGAAATGGTGTTTAACATAATGAACAAAGAAATTTCCATCAGTTTTGAGGTTAA